AATAAGATATGGAAAGGATCTCCATCATGGTGACCCTGACACTGAGAGGTTTGGGTGGTTCACATTTTTTCACTTTGCTTTTCTATATTTCTGATGTTTCTACAAAGAACACGTGCTTCTATGTCATGAAAAATTAATGCAGTAATATAGGTAGAAATGTTATTTCATATCCCCTGCCTCACCTGAAACTCAAGACAGCCCTGGAAGGCAGAAAGGTATGTTACTGACCTCAGGTTCAGATGGGGAGATGGTGAACTGAACTAAAGGCAGGTAGCTGGCTGAGACAGGCATGCGGGGGGTGGGGGGCGGGGGAGGGAAGGCTGGTGAGGAGAGGAGGGCAGAGCCACTGGGGGTCTGGAGCCCGGCTCCATCCACGCTCACCACTCAGGACTCTGTGCTCACTCATTTAGCCAGCTATCCACTCAGCAACCATGGAACCACGGCATGAGCGTTGTGCCAGGCCCTGGGACTAGAATCTAAGAGGGGCCCCTGCCAGCAGTCGCCCTCCAGTGCTAAGAGCCAGGGGGCCATTCTCTTACCCCACAAACCATACTGCAACTCAGACACATGACTGCCTGTGATTTTGCGGGACTCACGACCCCTGAAACCCATCCTGATTGAACCCCTGCTTTAGTCTGAGATGTTTGGTTGCCCCAACTTTAATTCACAGAAGTGCTCGGCGTGGGTCCCCAGCTCTAGACTCACAGATCGGGGGGCAATGGGCATGCCGCTCTCATCCACGGGCCCGATTCCCTCATACTTGACCCAGCGCTTATCCTGGCGTTTGCTGTCCTTGGTCCACGTGGCTGACCAGTTCTGGGGATGCTGGGAGGCGGGGGTCTTCTGGGTCCCTGCGGGCCGGCTCCCAGGGCCTGGCCAGGTCTGATACCAAGCCGGGTCTGCAGGGTGTGATGAGAGCATTAGCAACGGGGCAGGGGCCCGCCTGCCCTTGTCCGTCCCTCAGTTCTTCAGAATACTGATGCCCTTGGGTTTAAACATTTCAACATCGCCTTGCCTGTTGGAGCTGGTGAGGCAGACGCTATCATCTCAGCAGGACCATGGGCCTCTGTTTGTTTATGTTTTAAAGTGAATAAAAATGGATTTTGTCCTCAGACATCTGTGCCCACCCCACTCGCTCTGCTCTCCTGGGGCCGACCTACGAGCTTCCAGAATGAGGGCTGAGGATCACTACTTGCAGAGAATGCTGGGACCGGGCTGTCCCAGCTGGGAGGCAGCAGGGTGGGGCAGAAAAGGTGCTGGGCTTGGAGGGGACAGATCTGACTTCTGACTCCAGATCTGCCCCCTACTGGCTGTGTGATCTTGGGCACAACCATCAGCCTCCCAGTGCCTCCGTTTTCACTTCATGGGTCGTCATGGAAGGATTCAGGGGATCTAGAGGGTGTGACTGTGCCCAGCACAGTGCCTGGCATGCAGTAGAGGGGCTCTCGATAAGGGACAGAACTATTCGCCAGATGTGGCTGCCATGTCCTCAACTTCCCCGACCCTTCAGCCCCCAGGGCCGCAGCCTAAGGGGCTCAGCCTCTGAGACTGAACCCTCTGAGACTCGGCTCCTCCGGGAAGATGTCCATACTTTGCCAGGGACTGAATAGATGAGGCTTTTGAAGCATCCTTTCAGGGCTCAGCACGGTCAAGTGCTCAGCAATTATTTGTTAAAGGAATCAAACTCCTGGACAGAGTGCCTGCCCCACTGGAATGCGCAACAAAGGATGCCAGCTCCTCAGAAGGGCCCGGGGGGGGGGGGGCACACCAAGGGTGGCCCAGGATCCCTCGGACCCCGTGGCCCAGGCTGCGGTGACTCACAGGAGCCCAGGAGCTGACAGGCTCTTGGAGCTGCCTGCCCACCTGTGTCAGCCCCTGCACCCTTCTACAGCTCACATGTGCTCCCATGCCTCACCCCTTCATCCCCAGTGTGAGCCACTCCCTGTCCTACTGGAGGTCCCCCCGCCCCAGGGCAGTGTCCTCTGCACACTTCCTTCCCCTGGCACTGCGGGGAGGAAGGGGAAGGATGTGTCAGCCTCTCTCCCACAGCTTTCACTCTCAAGGGCCGGCATGCTCACCCAGGGAGGGGCAGTGAGATGAGCTCCAAGGGCCTGCCCCCCACTGGGCTCCGGGACCAGGTTTTCCTCAGCAGACCCACCTGGGTGCCGGGAAGCCTCGCTCCTGGTTGGGAAGTACCCATTGCACACAGTCCTGGGCGCAGGATCATGGAACTGGAAATTAAGGGTGTTGGAGCCACCATTCCGGATCACAGGTACCTGTGGGGAGGGGCCAGGAGCGGCAGCTCAGGCCCAGAAGGTTCCATGGAAGGGTGGCAGGGATGGCTGCCAGGGTCCAGCCATACCCCATGGTGGGGGCTCCAGGGCCAGCTTGATCCTTTTGCGGGAAATCAGGGAGGCTCCCTAGAGTTATCTTCTGACCCCCTTCCCAGCTCCCAGTCCTTTAATCCTCCTGCTCCACACCTGTCCTGCCAGGTCCCCACCAACTCTGGGCCCCCAGTAACCCTCTCCCTTGCTGTCTCACTCACCCGAGTCCCCCTGGAGAATGACCCTACATGGGCCCGGAGGTGGCCAGGGATGAAGTCGTCCAGGCTGAGCCCCGCTGGGCGGCTGCAGGGTGGGGCCTGCATACTTGGGTCGAGGTCAGAGGGCTGTGGGTGTGCCAGCAGCTCCTCTGCACGTCCTCTGTGGGGAAGGAGGGAGGAAGGGGAAGCCCTGCTGGACCAGCTGCCGTGCCCTCTGGGCTTGACCTCGGGTGGGTAAGAGGGGACAGCTGTGGGAGGGCGCCAGGGCCAGCTGGGTGGGAGCTCCAGGACCCAGGAAACAGGCCACTCCTGGCACCCGCCTGCAGGCTGCCAGTGCCGGCTCCCAGAGGCACAATGGGCTGCTTGTTAGGCTGGGCAGGAGCGCTGGGTGGGAGTGGGGGAGGGGAGGCTGGCCAGGAGCAGGCCTGCGGGACAAAGCTTCTGGCCGGCCGGCCTGCGGGCCAGCCCCTCTGGGGCTCTCACTACACAAACGGTGCATTCCCCCAGAGGGAGGCAGAGGGAATGGGGGCGGGGGGGCAGCTGGCCGAGGAGGCCTAGGCACGCAGGACTTTCAGTTCCCCCTGCCTCCCCTAGGCCCTGTGTGCGCATCTGCTCACCAGCAGGCACAGGGCTTTCTCAGGCTGGGAGAGGCCTTGCGCCACAGCAAGGCCAGCCGCCTACTGCCCAGCAGGGCCACGGGGGAGCGCGTGGGGGTATTTCCAGGCAGCAGGAACCACTCCCCAGCTCAGAGGAGTATCCACTTGCTTGTTTGGCCTCTTTGGCTTGAACTGCCGCCTCAGAGGGCTCAAGGTGCCAGTGAGGGTGGGGGCACAGAACCAGCACGCGTGCACACACACACACACACACACACACACCACTTTCTCCTACACCTCAGGCTGTTTTTTAACAGAGGGTCTTCCTGGGAGCAACATGCTTTGAACCGCCCTCTCCCCTCCCCCGCCACAAATGTTAGCTCAGAGGAAGGGGCTTCAGGCATCCAGGAGATGGAGGTGGTGGGGCTGACCAACAGGGCTTTCCGACCGGAGAGCGGTGGTGCAGAGCGGGTTGGACTGGGCCAGAAGCTGAACCAACCATCAGCACGCTGGACCGACTCTGGTGTTTTTGTTCTTTTAGGCCTGTGTGTGCCTGAGGGGCCTGGGGGCTCCCGGGAGGGCTGTGAGGGCCTTGCGGGGTGCTGTGTGCATGTGGTGGGAGGTAAGTGCAGTGCTGTGCATGTGACTTGTGGGGGTGCCACCCTGTGTGGGGTTATGAGGACAGAGGGTGTCAGCTGTAGGTGGGAGTGTGCAGTTCCGAGGTGCGGGTCGTATGAGCAGCACAAGAATGACGGAGAACAGAGGGGATGCAGGTTGCTCCTGTACCCAGTCCCTGCTCCGGCCATTGGGGGCTGGAGGGTACAACAAGGCTGGGCCAACTCCCTGTCTCTGATCTGAGTGGGGACTTCTTTGACCCTTGAAAGACCTACTAGGGACATGGCTTTCCAGTGCCCACCGTGTGGGGAGAAGTGGAGAGCGGAGGCCAAAGGAGGGGCAGCTCACCAGCTGCATCCAATTAGCGCTCCTACCAAAAACAAAACATGCAGACACACCCCAGTCCCTGCAGCTCTCCCTCCCCTCATGGGGGAAATCGAGGCAGAGAGAGTGGGAGATCGGATCCAGGGCAGACTGGTTCCTAGCAGCAACCCCTCCCAGCCCAGCTGACTGCTTGTGGCCAAGTTGCGAGATCAGCATCAGCAGTCCCTGCTGTCAGCTGACCCTGCCTCCCTCCCAGCCTACATCTGACCCCCCCTGCTGTGCTCCCTGAGGAGGGAGGTCCCCCACAGCATTTTCTGGGCTTGCTGATCCTTGTGGGGGAGAGGTGGGGGGGTGGGGGGAGTCTGCCTCTCCCTGTGGCGCAGCTCCAGGGACATGCAGGGGAGGGTGTGGAAGGGCGGGCTGAGTTTGTGCTTGGCAGCCTGGTCAAGGGACATTAAGGGGGGCTTCTCATAGGGAGAGGGAGGCATGGGGGGAGCTGGTTTTACATCCAGCAGAGGACAGAGGGTGCCAGGAAACCTCGAGCTCCCCCCACCCCCACCCCCCAGAATTCACACAGCCCTTCCCCTCTGCAGCCAGCTCCAAAGGGCTAGGGGAGAAGAAGGGGCTCTGCTGTGGCCGGGGAATGTTCCCACCGGAGACCTTGCCCTGGCCAGGGGCTCTGCCCTCGGCGCTTCGCGGGTGTTCTCTAGCTGCGAGTCCACGTGGACAGGACAGGTTTTCTCAAATCTCCTTTTTGTGGATTGAGGGGAATACTTCTCACCTCTTCCCGTCCCAGAGTTTGGGGCAAGGTCCCAGAGGAAGGGCTCTGAGCAATCCTTAGGGCCGGGCGCAGGTGCCGCCCTACCCCGGGCCCCCTCCCCTCCCACACCTACCTTCCCCAGCGAGCAGGTGGCAGGTGGCGGGGCTGAGGACGCTGGGGAGGACCG